AGACATATGGGACGACACTCCCTAATCAGATGAGGATGATACCCCCCAGTTGTCAGTTAGGAGTTTGCATACACTTCTTCCTATAATCTTGGAATGAGGCTGTAGTGGAAAAGTTCTTCAGCTGAGAACTCGATGAGACGCTTGCGTTTTGGCAAACTGCATATATAAGAATCATGTGTAGCATAACATTCTGAAGTATATTTCTTCCATTATAAAATTAGAATTTTAGAATACAGCCGGGCGGTGGTGGCGCACACCTTTAATCCCAGCACTCGCGAGGCAGAGGCAGGCAGATCTCTGTGAGTTCGAGGCCAGCCTGGTCTAGAAGAGCTAGTTCCAGGACAGGAACCAAAAGCTATGGAGAAACCCTGTCTCGAAAATTTTAAAAAATAAAAAAAGAAGAAGAATTTTAGAATATAGAGAGGTGAATGATAGTGAGCAAGGGAATTCATACTTATTTCTTCTTTATTTCCAAAGAGGAGTCTTGGTGAAAAGCCTGCCTTCTGGTTGCAGTGCCCCATGCCTGTGGTCACCTGTGAAGCAGACTAGAATCCTTGAGTGCTTGCTGAGTGTCCTGTAAGGAATAGGAAAAGTAAAGTTTCTTGAGAAAATCTAGCATAAGGAAATCAGGATTGGACTCTCCTTAGAAGGGGGATAGAAATTTGAACTTGCAAGACCTGTTGGGGTGAGAGGAGAGCTATACTGGACATGTGGGAGAAATAAGCCAAGAGTCTAGTTCTAATCATTTCTTGAAGACAGTAGACATGCAGGAATCCAAAACTCTCCTCTACTGCCTGAATTTTATTACAGTTTTCCCCGAGTTAGTTGATGTAGTACAGACATATTTAAAATTTTTCCCAAATATCATATCAAATATTAATATGTTCAGTTAAGTAAACAGAGTATATAAAAAGACAAATAAAGAATAAAAGCATTTAATTTGATTCTATAATTTTATCTATAAATAATTCTATTTTAATAATTATTTTCCCCCTTCTAAAGTCTTTCTTCTCCTAACGATATATTATATACATTTTATTGCTTCCATTTTATTTTACTTTGGTCTTTGCTTTGTGAGATAGTTTAGAAGTCATTGGAAGATACGATATTTCTCCTATGTTAGTGATTTGTTTCTTCCTAGAATTTCAGCATCTTTGGTTAAGGAGCTTAAGAGCAATGCTTATTTAAGAAGAGATGCTTTCGTTTAATGGAGTAGACATGATCAACACTGCACTCCAATGCAAGGATTCTACCAACAGAAACATTTCCTGTAAAGGAAAATAATGAGGTTGCTGGCAATAATTGAAGAGATACAGAATTGAAGTGACAGACACAGCTTTGGCATGACAGAATGAGATGCTTCATGGAAGAGCTCCGTTTGAGCCACCAGAAGCATCCTGGTAGGTTCAGGATGCCTATCCACTCCCCACCTCATTGGTTAATGGTAGCCTCTTGGGAGACACTGCTTCTGGAGAGAGCAGGTGATATACCTTAAATCTTAACAGCAGGGCTGTTGCTCATTGTGGCCCCTGCACTTTTATGGTTCATTCTGGTGACCACTTCACCCTTCCATAACAAAACAGACTTCTGCTTATGAAGTAGCAAATTGTCATTGGACCTAAGGCTCTTTACTTACTTTACGAAAACAATAAAAGAAGCGCTCCTGAAGCCATCATTTTAAAATGTAGCATTTGGTGCACTGAAATAAGTGAACAATAGACGATAGCGCTGGTTTTAAATTTAAGACTAGGGGAAAGGTGACTTTGAAGTCCCATTACAAGTTTCTCCATCATCATCATTACATTTCCACACTTGGCATGTATTTTTAAATGCTCTCAGTCACCTTTGCTTGCCTTTCACAACTTTATCTCAGAGGTGGCTGCTCTTTCCTTTTCGCAAGCGTTACTCTCCTCCCGGCTTTGCACGCTGGTTGTTCGTGTATAATTGTGGCTCTTACCAGCTAGCTCTGCTTTGAGTCCGTAAAATCTGTTCAGTATTTCTGCTGTCTTTGACGGCTATTGTTAAGCCATTCAGGCAACGCATTTGGGCTTTGTACAGGTGGCAGGCATCACACACTGTGTTCTTTTGTGTATGGTGCGATTTGCTGCTCTTTCAAACAGTTTCCCAGTGGACATAGTGTTTTGAAGCTGGAGAAGGAGACCTTTAAATGTTCCCAGTTTTCTGCCTGTAAAAGTAGTAGTACCAGCTTACCTTCGGTGCAAACTTCCAGTACTTGATCAAAAATCATTAAGAAAGGTCTTTCACTAAGTAAAAATGTTTAACATATGGATCTGCCGTTTGGCAATAGTTAGCAACCTAGAGAGGGAGAGTCAACTGTCTTTTATAATGCAGTCCATGCTAAGTCCACCATACATTCAAGTCCACACAGGCAGCAATTATGACTTAGTGGATTCAAAGAGGGAAAAATCAGAGAACCCCAAATCGGGTGGGTAAGGGGGGTCTTAGAGGAAAGAAGGAGGAGATGTATACAATCAAAAGACATATGAAATTCCTAAAGAACTAATAAAAAAGAAATCATAATATTAATGTCTATTTTTCTTAGTAAGTATTCTAAAGTCATGCAGACAACTGAGACAGAGGGTATCAACAGTTTTACTTCAGTATTTAAATATATTGGAAACTTGGGTGAACTAAGGCCTTGAAGGTTTGAGAATATGGATGTCTATAGATATTGCCAATATTATGATAGGATTATGTTCGCAGTATAAGCATTTTCTCAAAGAGGAAATGCTATTTCTTTTAGGTAGCCTCTGTGAATCATGTCACTAGTGAAAGGAACGACTGTGTGTGTAGTGAGAATTCAAATTGGTCTTAATAATAAAACGCTCCGAGTCAGACATAGCAATCAATGCTGAAGGGTAAGAGAAGCAGAACAGCCAGCCACTAGCTCTTATCTCTACTGAATCCTCTGATTGAATGGACAATCCTGTCTCTACAAGTCCTCAGACTGAATGCTTTGAGTTCCTGTCTCCTCCTGCCTTACGTTCCTCTCTCTGCCCAGCCACATCCCTTCCTGTCTCCTCTTTCTTAGTGCTGGGATTAAAATCAGGTGACCCTCAAGTATTGAATAAAGGTGTGAACCACCCCCACCAGACTTTGTTTCTCTTTTAAACTGGATCATCCCTGAAGCCCAGGGTACCATGGGTGTCAGATTCGAGGTTTATGGAAATTGTTAGTGATGACTGAACATAGTTCTTTTATTCAAAATCCTCACTTTCGCTCCTTAGACGTAGGTGACCACTTCTCAGTATTATATTGTCTTACCGGAAATGCTAGCAAAACACACTCTAGAAAGAGCCATGCTACCAGTAAGGAATAAATTGCACCAGATTTCTTCTGCATGAATGATACTGATAGTTTTCTCTTTAAAAATATTTCTCCTCATTTTGATTTCTTGGTTTTGGCAATGATTGATTATGGCATATGTGTATATATAAATGTAGTTTGGCCTGGAATGTTACACAAAGTATCACGAGTCAAAAAACGCTTTTAGAGGAGTTGGAAATAGTGGAAGATTCATGTGGACAGAAGGGAAAGCAGCTCTGTGGGGGAAAAGTTAAATGGTTTCTCAATAGGCACACAAAGAAAAGCAAGGGTTCTTCCTGAAAGACAGGGACACCCTGTCTCCCCGATTTTATGTAGGCTATACAAAGCTAGTAGTTACAATAATAGGGTAGAAAGCTAAATACTCAAGGATCATCAAACACCTTTTAGGAGTTTATCATTGTATTACCATAATGCCTTGTACTCATTATTTGGCTTGTGTGCCATTGAAGAAGTTTTTAAGTACAAGTTTAATAATAATTAAGAAAAATTATGGGATTCTATCCAGCATCTGAACACATTTTATATTTTTTGAAAAGAGGTTCTTTCAAACAAAAAAAAAGTTTTTGATTCCACTGATCATTCAGAGCACATGGCTTTAAAAGTCCTACTGAAAAAGTGGCAATAGTCAAATTCTCTCTGCTCCAGGGTGACATCCTAAATTGTCTCTTTCTACATGTGGAAATTGCTTCTTTTCATAGTGTATCTAAAAGAAGAACAGAACATCTAAAATCAGATGAAACAGGCCACTTCCCCTGGAAGTCTCACTCTACTTTGGTCATTGACAAAGTGGAATATTGTCTAGATGCTGAATATCTTAGACGCTGCATCTATTTTCGCATTTTTATAACATATATATTATCCTACTGATTAAAATAATCTCTTATATGTGGCTTCCAATTTTTACAGAGTCAAATGTGCAAGTTTGGCCACATACAATGTGCTATTAAATATATTTATCTATTTATGATATAACTAGACTACACAATCTCTGCTTTTATACAAAGTGTGAATTTTTTATATAATCAAAAACTGGATATTTAAAAAAAATTTGGTTCCAGCACCAAGATTTCCAATAGGTGGAAGCTTCAAGTATCTAGAAGTATCTAGAATCAACTCAACAGAGATTTGACTGAAGGAACTCCTCTCCTGCTTCCCACCAGGAACAAAACAAGTCACTAACTTGTCTAGACTTTAACCCTCACATTAGTGGATTATGACTACTTGTAGTCTCTCAAGGTACAAGGGTGTGGCCTCCATCATATATATTGAGTCAGTGGACCCTAGTTTCCTTCTATTATATATCTTCTACAAGGTATCTAGAAGTTTCTATTAGGTCAATATTGTTCTTTTGAGTCTGTAGGATATATTAGCTTTCTTTTTCAATGCCGTAAGCAAGAACACAACAGGAAGAAAATAGCCTGGATGCCAAGCATCACAATCCACGTGTCTTGATTTTCTTAACCCTGTCCCACTTATCTAGATCTACAGGACCGGGCTGAAAAGATTGAGAAAATCATCATGTTGTGGTATTTTAAAAATGTAATTTGAAGCGTTTTAAATGTATTTAGTAAGATACTATTCAGACATAAATCATTAATTTCTGAGTAATTTAAGATGCTTCTGTAGTTATCTCTAGTTTTATTCCATTGCAGCAGGAGGATACCTTTCATGGATTTCCTGGATTTATTCTCCTGGTGAGTGCTGTGTGTGAGATTAGCAAGGTTTATCTTGCTCTCCTTGAGCTGATTGGACATTTACTCCCAAGCCCTTGACATTTTTATGGGTTTGTGGTTCTCTTCAAGTTGTGGAAAAATGATAAATCATAGCTTTTGTCTATTGTAGGAGAGAAATTTTCTGGTGAGAGCTTTTTAAAAAGTACATGTATACATTTTTATTTACAAAAAGTAAACTTTTGCTTTGGTTAAAATACAAGGAATTTTTATCTGTCTGTCTGCTTGTTTGTTTTGAGCAACTCATTTTTGAAGGATTTCGGTTTTACAGCTGTAAATTTATGTGTGAATTCATCTCATGCTGATTGCCCTTTCTGTACCTGACAAAGAGATGTCTGTCTCTACTTCTGCCCTTATCAAATTTCAAACATTATCAAGATAAATTTTGTGTATTTATCACTATCACCCCCAATAATCAATAGAAAGACACGCACACATGACTCTCAAAATCCCACTTTCACCCCCCCCACAATCAATAGAAAAATACACACATAACTCTCACCATCTATCTCTGACTTCATGAAATGTTTCTGGATGTCTCTGATACACTGCTTCCTCTGTCTTCCAATCTTACACAAGCTGCTTCTGTTTAGTCCTATCCTTGTCTGCCCTGATTTTTATGCAGCCAGAATTGTTTTACCTCTTCTAGGCAGTTTCTCCCCACCCAGAGATTTGGTCTGGGACTATTTTCTAAGTTCTGTTGCCTCTGGGAAGGCTTTGTTTCTTCCCACTCATTCTAGCATTTACAATGGAAAGGGGGAAAGTATTGAAACATGCCACAAATATTCATACTAAAGACTTGTTTTCTATCAGGATCCACACGTGCTCTTTATTATAATTGTGCATTTTATATGAACTGATTGGTGTGATGTGTTACAATATTTTGAATGGAAATAGTCTGTGCTTGGAGTGGGAAATAGGAGATTCTAATCCTTTCCTCATTTCTATGGAATTTCAAGTTTAACATGCTATCCATGGGAAGGAATGCCATTGCTAGTCTCTGGACCAAATGCAAATGTGTATGTCAGTAATGTTCCTACCAAAGGTCAAGTCATAATATTTAGCAAGACATCATGAACATTTCTTGACCATTATTAACTCTATCTTCATAATTCAGGGTGAGATAGCTTATGGTGTACTACTCTCTTTAAACTGGAAACCACAGTGCTTTACATTTTGATTGTCAGTATCTTAAACTGTAACCTTTAAATCTCCTTAATTATGATTTGAGTCTCCATTTCATCAACATACTTACAAATAAAACAGGCAGAAGCAAATATCATTACTCTTCTCTTGTCATTGTGACCCAGCTTCATAATATCCGTGTCATTCTTAGCTCTATTTTGGCTTTCGAGTAGAAACTATTTCAATAATCCTCACAAACTGGAAGCAGAATTAATGTGGATTTAGCATAATACATCCTAGAAAAGTACTTATTTTGACTTATATTTTTCTAAATGTATTTTGAAGGATACTGATTAGTAGATGATTAGTGATACTAATTTTAGTTTAATTCCTAGTCCTGCTTGGGGAGAGGACTATGGAAGCAGTCTATAGAAAGAGCATTCATTTTTTATCCAGTAAATGATTTTAAGTAATCAAATAGCTACTTTTAAAATATATGAATTGCTAATCCATCTGAAAAATATGAAAATTGTCTTGAAAGTTGTTATTTTTATGTTGACTTAATGTTTTTTCAAATTCAATAAATAGATTATTTAATTTGAACTATGAGCAACGTTATTAAAAAAACCTACAAAATAATAACAATTAACAGACTTCTATAAAATAGCTATAACACACACAAAAAAAAAACTATAGATACAACTTATTCTTATGTAGAATATACAAGATCTGACTGCTTTATAGATTGCAAAGAAACAGTATCAAAGAAAAGAAGGCACCATAGATATTTTTTTTCTATCACCTTTCCTAAGTTCAAGGTTAGCAAATGGTTTCCTGAATTGTGTTTACTACATTGCTCATTACATAAAAGCAGGTCCTTATAATACTGAACGGTTTCTTGAAATTTCTGTCCTGTAGCCTTGTTTGTTTCCTTTAGAACTACACATAGAAAGTAGAAATTTTGTTTCTAAAGACAATATGAGATAGTTGAAAAGAATGTTTACTTTTCTTATGAAACTTTTCTTCTCAAGTATAGCATCTTCAATTCACTCAGTGATTCCATATATTGCTGTGCGCAATTCCTGTCCCAATCATTCACTCCCCAGTGTCTGCTACATCATAACCAGTATGTGTTTTGATACTTCATTGACTAACTCTAAAGTAAATAGTGCAGATAACTTGACTAAGTCTATTTTATTTATGTTCCTTATAAATGTTTCTAAAATTGAAATATCTGTAAAGAGAATAAGAATTGTGCCTAAAAATAGCTGTGAAATCAATATTATTATCATCTTGCTATTTTTATTAATTTACAGAACATCACTATAAGATACATTATTAATAAATATATTGATTTTCAACAGATATTTTCAGTACCCTGGAAAAGGTTGTCTTTCCTCAACATGAAGACAAATAAACAATAAAACAATTTTACTGAAGTGTCATTGACAAAGATTAGATTTTAATCTTTCACTGACAAAGGAAGCCCACTTATGTTAACAAATCTTAGTCATTCAAATTGATCATAATCAAACTTCCTATCACTCAGATTCAATATGATGTCTTCCATGAAGTCACTAAGGTTCCAAATGCTGAGTGATTTATGAGAGATAAAATTGAAGAATAAGTGTCATGAATTGGGAAGAACACAAGGATATGAATGAAATCATTAGAAAGAGGTTTTTAACACTTTTAAGTTACATTAATTGTACCTTATAAAATCCATGCTGATACAGGAAACTGACTGTTTAATATAGCCATATATCATCCCTTTGTTCCTAGTAATATTTTCTAGAATCTAAAGTAAACTCATAGTAAAGAAATCAAGTATAAAGCAATCTTAATAGTTAAAAAAATAAATCTTACAAAATGAAAGCAAGGAAGATTTAGATTTCATTTTAATTGTATTTTGTTAACTGCATTATCAACTTTATTATTCAGTTTATATTTGAATCACTTAATCTCTCATAGTCTTTTATGATTAACTCAAGGAAAGTTTACAAGTTCCTAGAGTCCTTCATCACTAAATAATAACTATATAATTTCTTTAATCTACTGTCCATAACTATATTTTTTCCTAAATCTTAGGATATCTTTGAGTAATTTGAAGTGTTCATTCATTAACGTGCCTGCAAGTTAGTCATTTCTGTTAGGTGGCATAATTTGGAGGTTGCTTTTATTATTTTAGATAAAAAATTTAAAAGTTTATAGATTTGAAAATGTTACAGTGTTTTCTGTTTATTTGTTTTATTTATTTTTGTCACAATGAAAGTTCTCTAGTTAATTTTTTACAGTGTCTCTCCTATTGAGAGAGCACTTGAGTTTGATTGCAATTGCATGTTTTTATTTCTTAAGGCAGTGTTATAGCAAGTCAGATATGAAAGGAAATTTGAACCAAAATATCCCAATTTTTAATGTTACTTATAGTTTTCATTAATAATTATTAAACATCTAGCAAATATAATACCATTTGAGTCAAATAAAGGATTTCTGATGACTTTTGAGTGTAGCAGGTTGGGGGCCTCTGGCTTGTAGCTTAGTAGATGCCACTGAATATTAATGTTCTTTTTCTACAAAAGTTAATGAAAAAAAATGTGCTTTGTTGAACCAAAACAAGAAATGGTTATATTGTTAATATACTAGTGTTTGTCAAGAGCCTCACTTTAATAAAAAGTAGAAATATGCAACAGAAAATGTTGTCTTCCTTAGCATTTTAAACCATTCAACATAGTAATTACTTACTGTTGGATGATTAACATAAATTTATGGTTTAAAACCAACAAAAGTGAGTTGTTCCTTCATTGTCTCTATGGGTTAGAAAGTCAGGATTCTGGTTCAATGTCACCCTGAAGTTACAGTCAGGTATGTGGCCAACGTCATGTTTGTGTCAAGGTTTAACTAAAGAACTTACCTCCAAATAAAGTCACATAAACATTGTTAAGCCCACAAATATCTATTTTAAATTTCATTGATGTGATTCTGACTCTAAGGTCTTGATTGCAAGGGTTTTTTCTTCATGTTCACCGTGTATTCTCTCTGGCCACCAGCCAATTTCTGTCTTCTCCACTGTTTTAGCATTGACTTCACTTGGCGCCTGCCATTGGAGGTAAGGAAAATGAGAGGATATCAATAAGACAGAAACTGCAGCCTTCTAAAAAGCTAGTTTAGAAGGTTATTTTACTTCTACTATACTCTTTTTTTTAAAGTAAGTTATTAAACCCAGGAGACATTTGAACTGGGGAATGAGATTTCATACCCTGAGGACAGGTGCCTCACAGAATCTATAGCTATGATCTCAAATAGTCACAGGCAACTGCTAACTACAATCTACAATGTTTTGATGAAAATCTTGAAGAGAACAGTATAATAATCTCTCTCACACATTATTCATATAAAAATTTTAAAACAAAATATCTGCTGTACATCACTAAGTGGTTTTCTTACTATTTCGAACCCCCAAGTAATTCTTTCTAGAATAATCTAGATTCAAGATGTGATTGAAACTAATTAAAATGATATTATACAGAAAATATATGGTTATATAACAAAATGCATAATTTAATTGTCCATGAACTCATGAAACCATTAAGAAACTTTCTTTTAACATCTGGTAAATGAAATTAGGTCAGCTTTTCTCATTAATTCAACTAAAAATCCACTGATGGTTTACAGAAGAAATTATCTAATTGGAAAATATGAATTATATTTATGTATTTTCATAAATTTGAATATATCAAAAAAAGCATGCTTTATAAAAGTTTGACAATCCTAAAAGGCTGGCTTTAGTATTATTTCTCCCAGTATTTATGTCATCAGACTTAGCAGTTGACAATAGAACG